GAATCTTATCCTAAACAGTATACCATGTATTCCGAGGTTAGTTTTGGACAATGTAGATATTGAGTAGTGTGCATTTGTGTGTGGTATAGAGAAATCTTATCTTGAATAGTATTTTATGCATCTCTAGGTTGGTTTTGGACACTGCAGATTCCATCTTGACTGTTCTTGTTTTGGGTTATAATCTTGACCATTAGTTTTTGTTGAGGTATTCAGCAGCATGCATTAGTGTGTGGTACAGAGGAATCTTATTGTAAATAGTAAACTATTTACTTTGACTCGAGTCTTGGGCACCAAGAACTTTATAGATCCATATAAGAAGTTTTATTTAACAACAAACAAAGTTTTAATTGCTAAGATATGTGCACTATTATTAACATTAAGTTGAAAGTTGGAAGGCAGTCACACTTGTGTGTCCCCGTTAATCTCTCAAGATCTTAACAAGTTAGGATCACAACTTATTTCTCAAATAATCCAAGATATTGTGGATGTTGACGGTTCAATCATTGTGTAAATAATAATTTTCCATATCAAGTCTACACAAGGATACACGGTTACTTATCGAAAGGCATGGTTAGTGAAACAATTAGCCATCGAGAAAATTTACGACAATTGGGAGGAGTTGTACAAAAAGTTTCCACATCTTTTGAAGGCTATGTAAGTATATGTTTTTGGATTTATATGGAAGATGAACACATGTCCACCATACCAAGGACAACAAATGGTTGAGGACCATGTCTTCTTGAAAAGGGTCTTTTAGTCCTTCAAACCTTGCATAGATGATTTTTAGTATTGCAAGTCATTTGTGCAAGGGGATGAAACATTTCTTTATGGAAAAATATAGAGCAACCTTATTGGTTGTAGTAACACGAGATGGTCACAACAATATACTCTCAATCGTCTTCACTATAGTCAAGGGGGGAAACATTTGATGTCTGGTTCTTCTTTTTGAAGAACCTAAAGAAATATGTCACCCCACAAGATGGATTATGCCTTATTGTTGACCATCATGAGTCATACGAAATACTTAAGAGATGACAATGTTTGGACTGAAAACAATTCTATGCATATGTATTACATTTGACACATTTAATGAGAAGATTGAAGAAAAGTCTACTTAAGAAAGATATTGTCAACATGGGTAATTGTTGTTATTTTCTAAACTCATTATTTTTATTATTTTTCAATTAACTCAAGTACCTACTAACTTATTTATTTCAATTGTTTTGTCGACAACATATGGAATGACTGAGCTCATATTCTTCTATTATAATATAGTAAGAAATGAATATCTAGAGGTAATAAAATTGTTGGATGAAATCCCAAGGAAGAAATGGACCCTAGTTTGGGACAACCGTCGACATTGGGGACACATGACCACCAACTTGGCAGAGTCAATATATTTGATCGTAAAAAATACAAGGTGCTTTCCTATTTCCTCCTTGGTGACAACAACTTACATATATTGCAATAAGTCCTTCACTAAAAGAGGTAGAGAAGTGACAACCATGATTGTTGTTGGACACGTATATAATGAAGTGGTAGCCAAGGCTTTGGATGATGCACATTTAATGGCAAATACCCACATAGTGATTAAGTTTGATTGAATGAGTACAAGATTTCTAGTAGAGGAAACCTTCACCCAAGATAAGTTAGATCAATAGGCTGATTTATAGTAAGGTTAGACAAATCATGGTGTGACTATGGTAAATTTCAAAAACTCCATTTATCATATTCGCACGTAATTGCTGATTGCAAACATGCACATCATGATTTGATCAACTACATAAATCTTGTCTATACTTTAGCACAAGTTAGCAAAGTCTACAACGGACTGTTCAAAGAATTAAGGAATGAATATTATTGGTCATCTTAAACGCAGCCAATGTTGAAGTCAAATCCAAAAATGAAGAGAACTACAAAAGGTCGTCCAAATTGAAGTCGAATAAGAACAGAAATGGGCATCACGGAAAGTCAATCTCGTCTCAAACTTTATTAGATTTACCACTCAGCTGGTCACACTAAAAGAATGTATCTTAACATTACTCGTCCACAAAATTAATATATATCATGTTTCATTTTAATAAATAAATTTTCAATTTTATATTATTTCTTTAAAATTCTAATATTATCATAACATTTTTTTTAACTAATCACATTAAATAAGTGTAAATCAACTTTCTATTATTTTTAATATTACTTAATTATAACAAATCAAATAATTTTAATATATTTATAAAAATATTAAAAATATTAGCATATGTTAATATATAAATATATAAATATCTAAATATATTAATATCTAATTGTATAAATATATACTTATCAAATTATATAAATATATATATATAGTATAAATATAAATATACTAATATATTAAAATTTAAATATATAAATATATAAAAAAGACAATTATATCAATATTTAAATATAAAAACAATTAAAATATATAATTATTAAATAAATGTTGATAAATAAACATATAAATATTTACATATATAAATATTTAATTACATAATTATATATACACATATATATTAGTATAAATATATAAAGTATATTAATATAAATATCTAAATATATTCATATATTAATATTTATCTATATATGTATGTATGTATGTATGTATAACTTCATGCATAAAAAAAAACGCCAAAACGCATTTCAGGATCGAATTTTGAATGCAATTCTGATTCTTACTTAGCAGATCTCCATTTAGAATTCGATTCTCGGAACTGAATGTTGACATTATTTAGATAAAATGAAAATGGGATTATTTTAATAATTAATTATTTTGAAAAAAAAAATCAAAAGATGTAAAAGACTTATAAAATTAACTCAATATATTTATATTATAAAATATTTACAAAATCTATAATATGTGAAGCTGTCATCAATTTCCTGCTGCACTAGTGTACCTGTCCACCTAATATCATCGGGACAGCTTCCTCATAACTCACCCAATATTATATCAATTTACTTTCTTTTCTTGTAATTCTTTGATGAGTAATAATAGAATATGTGATCTTTGGTTAAGAAAAACCAAAAATGAAATAAAATATAACTAATGAGTGCACTAATCTATAATTGGCTTCAATCTCTAATATATCAGTGTTGTCAAACATGAAAAGGTGAGGAATAATTCAACAACAACACCTGGACATAATAATATAAGCTATTATTCCTTTTTTATTATGAGTCCAAAAACCAGCTGTGATCTCAGATTTGCATGTGTTCAGAGTTTTGAAAAAAACAAAAATTGCTCAGCTACATCACGGGTTTACATTATAATGTTTGCATCAGAACAAATTTAGCTGCTATTATATCAGATGCCAAATGCACTCCACTGTCCAAGAAAAATTCTCGTCCAACGTGGTTAGAAAATGTAGACAATGTTTTTTAGAACAAGAACAATATAATTTTGTATTGCTTACAGATCATGGTAAATTGTGCAAAATTCTCACTTGCTTGTATTTTCCTTACACCCTCATCATTCATTATTAATTCATAATGTTTTGTTTGAAAAATATAGATTTTATTTTCATAATATAGCATATTTTTCTAGCATTAATAAGACAATCATTAGGGCAAACAAAACTTAACAAGAGAGAGTAATGAGATAAATGCCACAAAAGCTTGAGATTTGTTTTTTTTTTTTACTTTTTAATATTTCAAGTATTAAATAGAAGAAATGATGATACTTTAAAGATCAAATTAACAATTCTCTCTCTATATATAAAACCTTCAATGTCCATGATATTAAACTAGTGTATTCATTCTCTACGTAGTTAATAATAAATAAGTGGATTAAATTTTTACAATTATGAAAAATTGAAAGCACTTAAATATTTCTATTTCTGAAAGTAAGTTAAAATTGTTTTGAAATTTACAAAACAAGTTTTATCCAAATATATTTTATTTTAAAATTTTAGTTTAAAAACTCAAAGTTAAAAACTTTATTATCACTACTCCCTAAGAGAAAACCAATCCAAAACATATACACGTGTGAATATGATTTTGTGCCATCTCATTGTTGTTTTGCATGAGTAAAAGTAATGTTTTATGTAAAGGACATGTCATAAATATTAACTTTAATCTTTGAAACAGTTGATCTACATGAATAATATAGTTTCTATAGAGAACAATGCTATAAAAAAAAACTCTTGATGAAAATTTGGTTGAAATATAAAATTGTATTTTTTTCTTACAAAGTGGAAAACTAATCAACCCTTCTACCGGATTAATCACTAGGTCCCGGCCGGTCGTCGCCTCTCGATCCTCGTTTTGTACCTTTCAATTATCGATATCCAGTTCTCAGTTCTGACACGTGTGGAAGGTACTACAAAAATATTCCGATGATCAAATCAATTAACACGGTTTTTATGAAATAATCTTTCTTATAACTATAATTATTATAAAGTATTTATATGGTCCTGACAGTGTTATCTAAATCCTATTGATATGAGACTATATTAAATCATCTAATATGTTATAGTATCTATGTCAAGTTCGAGATAAAAAATGATGACCCAGTATTAACCTCGTGATGAATTCATGTATTTTACAATTTATATAAGTTTTAAGCAAAACTTAAATATACATTTATATTTCATTAATTATCGATTTTTATTGTCATCCATAACAAATTTGTTAACTGTTTTATTCTTAATATTTTTTATTACTTTTGTTCCTAAATTTGTTCAAATATTACTTCGAACAGAAAAATAAGTGACTTCAATACTTTTACGACGAAAATAAAATAAAATTAAAAAAATAAAACAAAAAATACATTATTAAAGACAAAAAAAAATTGATAGTTTGTCAAAAATAAAATATTTAAACCCTTAAACAATAAAATAAAAATTAAGTAATCTTTAAAATTTGTATGCTTAACATTCTTCTCCTATAAATAGCACAAGAGGAAGCTGAACCGAAACCAAGGTGAATTGTATCGTTCAGAAGTAATATTTCTCTGTAGAATTGTTTTCCTCGTATAAGGAAAAATGTTGTCATCGTTTCTTCTAATTCCATGCCTAACTTTTCTTGTGTTTTTGCTGTTCTTCTTTCGATTCTGTACAACTTCCAAGAAACCATCATTTCCACCTGGTCCTAGAGGTCATCCAATAGTAGGAAATCTTTTTCAGCTAGATAGTTCAAACCTTCATGAGCAGCTATGGGAATTCTCAAAGAGATATGGTCCTTTATTTTCTCTTCAATTAGGTTTAAGGCAAGCAATAGTTATTTGCTCTCCTAAACTGGCCAAAGAGGTAATGAAAGACCATGACTCTGAGTGTTGTCGACGACCTAGATTACTTGGTCAGCAGAAACTGTCCTATAATGGGTTAGACTTAGCATTTTCCCAATATGCTGATTATTGGAGAGAAATCAGAAAAATTTGTGTTGTCCATGTCCTTAGCGCCAAACGTGTCTCATGCTTTTCCACAATAAGACATTTAGAGGTGAAGAAGGTGATGAAAAAAATATCCATGCATGCCTCAACTTCAGAAATTATAAATTTCAGTGATATGATATTGTCTCTGAACAGCGCTATTATTTGTAGAATTGCTTTAGGGAAAAGTTATGAGCAAGGAACAGAAAGGAACAAGTTCGATAGGTTGCTGAGTGAGTGTGAAACCATGATGAGTTCCTTCTTTGTTTCAGATTATATTCCTTTCATGAATTGGATTGATACACTCAGGGGAATTCATGCACGTCTCGAACGGACTTTCAAGGAGATGGATGATTTCTACCAAGAAATCATTGATGAACACTTGGAGTATTCTCAGAAAAAGACCCCAGAGGAAGAGGACATAGTTGATGTCTTACTTCAACTCAAAAAGCATCATTCGTTCTCCATAGATCTCACCAATGATAACATCAAAGCGGTGGTCATGGTTTGAATTTTCATTCCTTTAACTCCTTCTCTTTACTTGGTCTATTTCATTTCGCACAAAAAACTAGCATCACTCTTATAGTTTGTTTATTTTTTTTATTTTACTTTTATTAGCTCGTTAAAATTCATAAATATCACATAGTCAAAACCTCTTACACGTGGAAGTTGTTGGTGGTATTTTAATATCCAACATTGAAAGAATTAAGCTTGTGACAAATTATAGTTACCTTAAATTATGTAAAATGTATACTCATTTTCAATGATTAACTTGGATTTGTTTTTACAGAACATACTTGTAGGAGCAACAAGTACGACTACGGCCTCAACAATAGGGGCCATGACTGAACTACTAAAGAATGGAAACATGATGAAGAAAGTTCAAGAAGAAATAAGGAGTATAAGTGGTAAGAAAGATTTCTTGGATGAAGATGATGTTCAAAAGTTTCCCTATTTCAAGGCAATGGTGAAAGAGACGCTGAGATTGCACGCACCAGCACCACTACTTGTACCAAGAGAAACAGGTGAAAAATGCATGATAGATGGTTATGAAATTCCAGCCAAGACAATGATATATGTGAATGCTTGGGCTATCCATAGAGACCCTGAAGCTTGGAAAGATCCAGAACAGTTTATACCTGAAAGGTTTCTAAACAGCACTTTAGATCTGCAAGGAAAAGATTTTTGTTTCATTCCATTCGGTGCTGGTCGTAAAATGTGCCCTGGTTTGCATATGGCATTCGCCACATTGGATGTTATACTTGCTAACCTTCTTTACTCCTTCGACTGGCAATTGGTAGAAGGAACAGAAAGGAATGAGACGGATGCTAAAGTGTTGCCAGGACTTACACAGAACAAGAAGGAGTCTCTTCGTGTTTTGGCCAAGCGTCATGTGTGAAGTCCAAAATGAAGTTTCAATTAGTGATCAATAAAAAAAAAAAAAAAAAAAAGTAACCATCAACAAATAAAAAGGTAAAATGCACTGTATTTTACCATTTTTATTTTATTTATATTCGTGTACTGTTTTACATTCAACCATATATAATAAGGTGAATGATGATGATGTCATTTACATTTAAAATTTTCAAATTTTAAAGACATAGGAAAAAAGAGTGGGGAAGAAATATGAGACAAGACAATGAGTAAAAAAACAGAAAATTTATATAACTTTCACTGAACGCCTTGAAGATTGGTTCTATCTTTCATGGCATGGCATCAGATGGAACACAAATAGTCAAGAGACAAGGAAATCAAAAACACAAAACATATGCTGAATAGAAATGGTAGAAATGAAAGGTTGGTTAGATCATATCTAATGACAACTTACCAAAAACTTCTTAACCTATTTTAAGTTGGTTGAAATAGTGGTGGATATTAAGACCAACATAATTTACTTCTTAAATAATATAAGATTAGAGATGTATTTATACATTCTTAGTTACACCTATGTTTATCATAGATCAACATTCAGCATATTCAAATATATAAAATTAGAAGAATAAAATAAAAAAAATTTAAATACTTAATAATAATTTTAACGAAATTAAATATACACATATATACTTTTGCATATATAGGTCTATCTGATTTGAAGTGAATACAAGTATACTTAATATAATTTTCTCTCAAATAACAACTCCCATGTTATCCTACACATTTATACTTTTATATTTATCCTAGAAAAATATTGTATTTTTAGTTTCAATTAGTAAATATACTAAAAATAAAATATTGTGAAAGCATAATTATTTCACTGAACATTTAATGGAAAAAAAACATTATATTAATTTTGGTTTCACAATAATTATGAGTGTATATGTGATTTGTTGAATGTTACTCTCAATAGATAATATTAGAAATTCTATATATATATATATATATATATATATATATATATATATATATCATTTTTGTTACTTGATACAACTTACATGATATTCATAATTTCATTTGTTAAATACATTTAGATAATCATAGTTAATGAAGAGATAATCAAAAGTAGATGTCCAATCAAAATTTTAGATATTAAGTGTTGTAATGGTGTGAATATTAGTTTTTAAAATAAAATATATTTAATTTATAGAAAATTCTATAACTAGAAAGTTAAATTATTTTATTTTCATAAATTTCTATCTTATTACTACGATAGAAATCTCTAAACTTTTTCAAGAATTGAATGTATCGAAATTAAGTTCTGGAAATGGTATAAGTCATAATTTGTAACGGGTAAACTATTTTCGCTCTTTTAAATGTTTTTTAATTATTTCAAAATTCAGATAAAGAAATTAACAATCATTACTATTCTGGTTACATGAATATATTATATAGTTCAGGTATTGAAATGAAAATATTGATTTTTGAGTTGCACAAATATAGGAACAAGTTTAATTTTGGAAAAATTTATATAAACGAAATTAATTATTTAAATGATAATATAATAAAATTGAAAATGCATAAAATATTGAACACAAAAATTGTAGGGTAAATAAGACTGAAAAATGATTGAAACTGATAAAAAAACTTGCTATGTTTTGACTCTGGTCAAGTTTTTATCAATTTTTTTTATTTCAGTTCTTCAAAAAAGAAAGGTGAATAAGTGGACATTATCTGATTTGATGAAAGAAACTCAGAGTATTTTATTACTTTTTATTTTGTTCTCTTCTAAATGTTTGGCAAAAAATGTTTAATCAAGACGCACTACAAGAAAAAACACATTTAGCGACCGAAGTTAGCGACCGAATTTTTTGGTAGCAATTAGTGACTGATTTAATTCGATCGACATTAGCAACCGATTTAGCGACCGATTTAATTCGGTCGCTATTAGCAACCGAATTAGCTTCGGTCACAATTTAGCGACCGATTTAGCCACCGAAATATAATTTGGCTTCACATTTTTTAGTTAGCGACCGAAATAGCGACCAATAGTTTGCGTCGCAAATTTTCGATCGCTAAATCGGTGGATATTCCACACTAAAATAAAAAAAAATCATTTAGCGACTGATTTAGCGACCGAATTACAAATTGAAATAGTGACCAGAATTATAATCGATCAGCTAATGAGAAAATAGCGACCAAATTTAAATCGGTCAGCTAACTGAACATTATTTTTTTATGATATTTAAATTTATTTTTTTATAAATATACTTTAATTGTTTTAGTATATTTTTGAACATTTATTTTTTAAAAGTAATTTATTTTCTAAAAATAATTTAATTTTTAAAAGATACTTTAAAAATAAACTTTGGTCTCAATATTAACAAAATGAAGATTAACTTTAATTTTAAATTACTAAAATAAAAATATTATTAAAAATAAATCAAATTTATTAAAAATTTAAATTGTAATAAATTAAGACTAGAGTAATATTAACTATTCAATACATTGTTTAAGAAAAGTTTAATAATAAATATTCTTTAATTTATTTTTGAATTGAAAATTTCAATTGAAATTAAATTATATTTTAAAAAGTTATATTAAAAAAATTAAACACATCAAATGATCACATTTTAATTCCTCATTATTTTAATTAATTAAGAAAATAAAATTTTAATCAAATTATTACAATTTTATTTTATAAAACTTTATTTTTAATCTAATCTTTAAATTTATTGCTTTATTATTATTAATTACTTAACCATGGTTATTTTCATATAATTGATATACAAAAAAATATATCAATATACATTAGATAATCAATATACATTAGTTTAAGTATACTAATTAATATTTTTTTCATTTTTAACATAATTAATAACAAAGATTAAAAATAGATCTGCTAGAAAAGTTAAAAATTTAAAACTAATCTATTTTATAAATACTAAAAATAAACCATATTTAAATAAATTAAAAATATATTTAAATTTATATTCAACCTATATAATAAGCGGTTCCACGTTAACCGCTATCTAAACTATATTTTAGATAGCAGTTAAGGTTTAACCACTATTAGATGTTCGTTTTAAGAGCGATTCAGATTGGAACCGCTTATCATATACAACCATTATGATCGATTAAATTTTCAAATAACCGATCATATTGGATAATTTTTTCAAATAATTAATTATAATCGATTAGTTTTCTAAATAATTGATTAGAATTGATTAGTTTTTCAAATAATAGATTATAATTGATTAATTTCTCAAATATATATTAAAAAATTATAAATAAAAATATAAATTATTTAAGAATATTAATTATTGTAAACATAAAGTAGAACATGGGAGGAAATGAGGATGATAATATAATGATGGAATTGACAAAAATGCAGAATTGAGAAGTTAAAAAAAGAAAAATTGAAGAAAAAAGAGATTTAATTATACTTTTAATAAATTTAAGATAATACTAGTTTTGATTTTTATTTTTAAATATTTATTTTAATTTTTTAAAACAGAGAAACTATAATTTTAGTTTCTAAATACTAAATTTAAAGAATTAAATTTATTATTATTTAATCTTTTAATTTTAGTATTAAAAATTTAAATTATATTTTATTAAATTAAAATAATTAAAATATATTTTTCTACTTTGAGAATGAAAAATATAATTAAACTAAAACTGAAAATATTATAATACATTTTTGAACTTTTTTTGATTTTTTTTTCCTAAAATTTTATAAAGTCAATTTTAATATTTAAAAGTATTTAACATTTTGCTTTCGAAACGTTTTCTGTATTACCAAATTTAAAAACATAATATTCAAAAAAATAGTTAATGTAAACTATATTTTAGATAGCGGTTCCACGTTAAGCACTATCTAAAGCTGTATTTTAGATAGCGATTAAGGTTTAACCGCTATTAGATGTTCTATTTTAAGAGCGGTTTCAGTGGAACCGCTATCATATACAACCATTATGATCGATTACATTTTTAAATAACCGATCATATTGGATAATTTTATCAAATAATTAATTATAATCGATTAGTTTTCTAAATAATTGATTAGTTTTTCAAATAATATATTATAATTGATTAATTTCTCAAATATATATTAAAAATTTATAAATAAAAATATAAATTATTTAAGAATATTAATTATTGTAAACATAAAGTAGAACATTGGAGGAGATGAGGATGATAATATAATGATGGAATTGACAAAAATGCGAGAATTGAGAAGTTAAAAAAAGAAAAATTGAAGAAAATAGAGATTTAATTATACTTTTAATAAATTTAACATAATAATAGTTTTGATTTTTATTTTTAAATATTTATTTTAATTTTTTAAAACAGAGAAACTATAATTTTAGTTTCTAAATACTAAATTTAAAGAATTAAATTTATTATTATTTAATCTTTTAATTTTAGTATTAAAAATTTAAATTATATTTTATTAAATTAAAATAATTACAATATATTTTTTTACTTTCAAAAATATAATTAAACTAAAACTGAAAATATTATAATACATTTTGTACTCTGGTCAAGTTTTTATCAATTTTTTTTATTTCAGTTCTTCAAAAAAGAAAGGTGAATAAGTGGACATTATCTGATTTGATGAAAGAAACTCAGAGTATTTAATTACTTTTTATTTTGTTCTCTTCCAAATGTTTGGCAAAAAATGTTTAATCAAGACGTACAAAACTCTGCTTCCTTGGCATGTCCCCGTTCTAAAAGTCGATGAGGTAGTCTGACAAAACAAAGCTTAGTGTCACTTTTTTCTGGACCAAATAAAAGTTTGCTGACAAGTAGGCCATTCAGTATTTGTCGACAACTAAATAATAACAAGAGAGAGAACTATACTTGTTTCACATGCAAAGATTATTGACTTCGGTTTTTTTAGATGATTTTTTTTTTTTTTTTTTTTTTTTTTTTTTACTCAGAAGAGATGATAAGGTGTTGAGAAAATTTAGTCGATTTCGATTTTTTTAAACTTAGATTTTAATTAAATTTCAATCAAGT